GCATCCATGAGCACATCTAGAGCTCGCTGGGCTGGGGCTTCTCCTGCACGCCAAGACCCCCTGCGGCCACGCTGGCTCCTGCGTCCTCTGGCTGTTCCCGGCCATCAGTTGAAGTTCCCCATCCTTTTCCTCTGATTCAGCGTGGAGTGGGCAGTTGAACAGCTGCCTCCCACTTTCAGAAATGCCAGCTCCCTGAAGCTGACAAACAGGCAGATTGACAGGCCCGGCTCCCAGCTCCTCTTGGACAGCAGGAGGGTTCCTCCTGGATGTTTCTCCCGAAGATGCTCTTTAAGTGGCATTTATTCGAGCACAAGCAGGAGCTAAGAAAAGTCACTTGGCACCTCTCGTGTTCGAAATTCAAGGAAACCTGTGGGGGAATTGACTTTAATAACTGTCTCCGTTAATTAGACAAGGACTCGCCCCGAAAGAAGTAATTACTGGGAGAAAGGCAGCTTTTGTTGCTTGGGCGCTGGTGGCCTCTCGAACGGGTCTGGAAGCTGTGAGGTGCCATCCTCTTTGGAGACTTGGTGGTGTTAGTTCTGCCCAGGCTTCCAGCCCCTTTGACAGGACGCTGGTCACCCTGGGAGGGTAGAACTGCTTCTCGATGCCGACGAGATTGGGTGCCCCGTGCAGCTAACCAGCCAGGAGGGGATGGATCTCTTGATGAATTGACTCCAAATTTGTCCTCCCAGAACTCCTTTGCCCTATTTTGTTCATGAACCAGATTTCACCTTTGATGTTTTTTTTACCATCCTTCTGCTAAGATCTCTAAACACTCTTTAGTTCTCTCCCTCTCTGCTCCTCCCTGCCCCCTTCCCTGCCCCAAAATAAACCAGGGTCCTCATGGGGAATTCTGCTGGGAGTGACGGGAGGAGCACTCACCACCTCCTTGGATGTGGCACAAACGGGCAGGGCAGGTAACAGACCGGCACAGGGCAGGTGCTCAGTAAATGGCAGTGCCCGGCCGGTGCGGCTCAGGGCTTGAGCACCGACCTATGAACCAGGACAGGACATCCCGGTTCAATTCCCGGTCAGGGCACATGCCTGGGTTGTGGGCTCGATCCCCAGTAGGGGGCGTGCAGGAGGTAGCCGATTCCCCTCAAGAGCTGTGGGGCCCCTCAGGATTCTGACACTGGGAGGGAAGGTCCGGGAAGCAGCTTTTAGCAGAAAGCAGCAGCGGGTGGGTCTCCCGCTCAGCTCGATTTCTGGTGGTCAGTTACAGCCTCCAGGAGCCACGTGCAGGAGGCTCCTCTATCCTGCGGAGGAAGGGCATGCCAGGACCCCGGGCACCCTGCAGCCTCTGCCCCCAATAGTGGAACTCTTTCTCCCCGGGCGGAGGCTGGGAGAGATGGGAGTGGGTGCCTCACGTCTCCCAAATGGAAAGGCGCACCTTGGGGCAGCACGTGTTCCAGCTCTGAGCGCCCCTTCGGCTTTGGCAGGGCCTTGCCTCTCGGCACTTCCTGTGTGTGCCGCGCGGGCCCTGAGCTGGAGCAGACAGGTGGCTAACGTGTGCCCTCTTCCTTTCTAGTGGCCAGACTGAAGGCACCGTTCCTCAAAATCGAAGATGAGAGCAGGTGAGTGGGGCTCCTCCCTGTCCCCACACCCCCACCAGGCCCACACGGAGGCCAGGTCCCAAGCTGACGTGGGGTCATGGAGCCCCTCCGCCCTGCACCTGTGTCTTCCCAGAAGCCACTTTCTCCCGTCGTGGAGAAGTCTCGCATAGACCAGGGGGGGCCTCTGAGGGCGCACTGCACAGCCGGCACTCCCCTTGGTATGAGCCGGAGGTTAATGGCCCTGTGTGTGAATTACCTCCTAATGCTCTGCTTTTATGATCTCATTTACTCCGAGGTGTATGCTGACACTTGCTATCGAGTGGTTGTTAGAGCCAGTGCAGGGCTAGTGCAGTCATCTCGGCTGAAGTGAGGTGCTTGGGGCGGTGCTGGGATTCCCTTGCACTTGAAACCCTTCTGGTTTGCTGTGCAGGGCCCTCTCCTGGCACGTGCCGCCTCATGACCGCTCTCAGTGGGAGAGTCCATCCTCTTCCTAGTGGGGAAACGGGGGGCAGAGAAGGGAAGGACTTGCACATTCCCACTTCATTAATGAACCTCAGCTGAGGCTAGATGCCAGGTGTCCTAACTGTGCCATCCGGCACCCTCTCCACTCTGCCCTGTCCACCATTGGGGCCCCTTTGTACCTGGAGCGGGAGAGTCCATTGATGATAACCTGATAGCCTGGGTTAGCGCTGACTCTTCAGTAAGTACTAGATCAAAGTCCATGTGAATCTATAATTCTCTCAAAAGAAAAGCGTTTTGAAAAAAGAAAAAGCTCATCTGGACCTGGGACCAGAATTTTCTGGGCCCCTCAGCCTCATGCAGGGCAGCTAGAGACCCAGCCCCGGGATCCTGGCATGCCTGCCCATCCTCCAGGCCCTGCACACAGTACAGGCATGGTCTTGGTGGCCCAGAAATGAGTGGAAAGAACATAGGGATGGCAATGAGGTGCTATCTTGTCCAGTTCCGGTGGGATGGGGTCCATGTCTGTCAATCCCAGCCCCTTCACAAGCAGTTAAATATAAGTAGTCATGACTCATAGACGGCAGCTGAGAGATACTGTCAGTGCCTCAGGATCTCTCCCTGCACGTGGCAGGCACAGGTGATGCCACTGTCACTGGAGGGGGTACACGTACTTGCGTGCCCCTAGCATCATAGGCAACAGAGGAGATCCGGGCGGAGCTGAGGTTTCTTGTGATTCTCTTGATGTGCTGTTCTGAACCAGGTGCTCTTCAAAGCCTCATAGCCTTTCCAACCTCAGCATCCCAGCCTCCTAAGCAGGAACAAAACAACTTTGAAGAGAAAGAAATGGGGGTACCAGGGCTGTGGAGGGCACCCTTTTCCCTTTAAGGGTCCAAGAACTCTGTTAATTCACTCCTGAGGCCAGAGGGCTCACAGTACCACCCAGGAACCATGGCCTGCACTCCCCCTGGAGCACAGGCCATGGCACCAAACACGGGGTGCCCGCAGCTCTATCACGGGGTTTGTTGAGTGTCCACACATGATCAGATCTGGCTCCGAGCTTGAATGTGAGCAACCTGAGGCAGAGCACCAAAACCACCCAGTATCCTGACATCCGGAACCTGCACTGGGCCTCCTTTCTCTTCAGAACTCTCCCCTGCAGAGGGTGCCGAGGACCAGCCCAGAGCAAGTGTTGCTCTAAGTGGAGCAGGGAAATCACTGCTGTGGTTCAAACATCCTTCCATTTAGATTCTGTGAGGCTGGAGTCCCCAAAGATTGTTCTAGGGTCGAGAAACAAAATGGAAGGGTCAGGAGATGTGGCTTCCGGTCTGGCATTGGCCACATACTAGCTGTGAGCTCTTAGGCAAGTTCCTGAACCTTTTGGGCTTCATTTACCCCACTTGTTCCACTCAGCTCAGAGCTCAGGGGGTGGCTGCAGCATTCCGATGAGGCAGTAGATAGTAGACAGGGAGAGCGTAAGTATTAATTTCACCTAGTAAGGCTGATGAGAATTTTGTTCTACAACCTGAAAGATGTGCGGGTGAGAGCCCACTTTGTCAGGATTGGAACTCCAGGGAGTTGGGCTGGCACCCCTTCCTCACCCTTTCCCTTCCCCGCTATAGTCAAAGTGGAAGTTTTCTGTGTTTCAGGGAGTTTCGTCCTTTCCACCATCAGTTTAAATCCTTTCCTGAAATTTCTTTTCTGGGACCCAAAGATGCAAGTCCCTTTGAGGCCCTGACGATCCCGGGCAGCTCGCGCCGCACCAGGTGGGTCTTTCTGGTTCCTGATTAACAAGGGCTGGTGACAGGCCAAGGTCCTTCCCCCCGGGGGCCTGCTGCTCAGATTTGGGAATGGCCATGTGTCAGCTCCTTAGGCGAAGTCTATTCTGGGAACTTAGCCCAGAGAAGAGAGACACAAGGAGAGTTCATTCATTTTCCTTGGTGTTCTCCAGCCCTACTGAAGAATTTGACTGGTGTCCAGAGGACAATTGGCTGGTTTCTGAAACTCAAATCTATAGACCACCTTCAATCAGAGCCCCCTGAGGTCCCATTAAAAATGGCTTCTGGACCCCACTTCACCCCTACAGAATCACAGTCTCTGATTATGGAGCCCCCAAAGCTGCATCCTCACAAGCTCCCTGGGCGATTTGATACACATCAGAGTGGCTTATAGGCTTATCGGTATTCCCGCTCTGCAGATGTGTGACGGGAGCCTCCACTGACCAAAGTGCAGAAGGAACGCGGCTTGGTGCAGGGTCTGGATGCCTTCTCGGACCCTTTCTAATTTCGGGCCACAGAGTTGTTAGTTCATAGACCAGGAGAACAGGACGGAGCAGACTCAGGCCGAGAGGACCCAGGGCCAAGGGGAGCCTGCAGGTCCCACCAGCAGACAAAGGAAGCGGTGCAGTGGGAGGAAAAAGAGAACGGAATGTGGCAGTAGGCAGAGGGGAGAAGAAACAATGAGCTGAGGTGGAGTTCAGGTGCCCTTCACATCTTTCCTAGAAGGCGCAGGGGATACCAGAGAGAGCCAGCCAGGGGGCCGTGGGCTGGGCTGGCAGGTGGTGCTAGACCTGAGATGGCCTGGGAATCGCAGAGCAGCCGAGATTGTAAAAGGAAGATGGTGAAGCAATGAAGCTTTGGTACATGCACATGAGAAACAGAGGGAGGGCTTTAGCCAGGGTTCCGTGTGTGTGTGTGTGTGTGTGTGTGTGTGTGTGTGTGTGTGTGTGTGTGTGTGTGTCAAATCTGGGAGGAAATGTAAGTGATTATTTTGGCCCTGGCCGGGTGGCTCAGTTAATTGGAAAATCATCCCAGACACCAAAAGGTTGCGGGTTCAATTCCCAGTCAGGGCACGTACAGGGGGCAACCAATTTCTCTCTCTCTCTCTCTCCCCCTCCCTCCCTCCTCCCTCCCTCCCTCTTTTTCCCTTTCTCTCTAAACTTATCCTTAGGTGAGGATTAAAAAATAAAAGATTATTTTGGTTCAAAATTCAAGCATTACAAAGGGTTTAGAGTAAAAAGTCTCCCACCACCATCCTCTAATCTCCAGATCGTGGGTCTCTCTCCGGAGATGGCTCATGTGCACAGAAGTACATCGTGTCCTTTGTTCCCTCTTCTCACGTAAAGAGCAGCCTAATATTTGCTGTGCTCGATCTTAGTTTTGCCACTTTATCTTAGATTAATTTCCTATTAGTACCTGAACAGCATCCTTATTCCCTTTTATGGCTGTAGTGAATAGTCTTTTTAAAGAAAATTTGATGGTTTAAGTATATTTGCAGAGTAAATTCCTAAAAGTGGAAATGCTGGGTCAAAGGGTGCCTGCATTTATAATTTTGATAAATGCGGCCAAATTGCTTTACATGGAGATGATGCCAGCAACCACTCTGACCCCCACCCCCTTGGAGAGAGCCTGTTTCCACATCCCGTGGCTAATCCTGAGAGCTGTCAGGCTTGTTGATTTACACCAATCTGATAGATTCAAGACCGTGATCTCGGTGTAATTAGAATTTTCATGTTTTTCTCTATGAATGAGGTTCAGTCTGTTTTGTTTGATCATTTGTATTTCTTTCTGTGCATCTTCTGCATATCACTTGCCCATTTCTCTATTCAGTTATTGATCACTTTCTTATGGATTTGTAAAGAGCCCTCCATGTAGTAGGGAAATGAGCCCTTTGCTATAGTGTTAGTTATAAATAACACGGACCCCACTTCGTCCAGTCTGTGGGTTTAACTTTGCTTGTTTTCTGCTGTGCATACATTTTTTAAATTTGCATGTAGTTAAATTTATCAGTTTTTTCCTATTTTTTCCTGTGTTTCCTGGGTTTTGTGTCATCCTTAGAAAGTCCTTAAAGGAGGATATTTTAGATTTGTTGAGTTTGCCCATAGCAATGGCCCACAGGCCATTAGAAAAACGGGATTGAAATTCAGACAAGGAGTCAGGTTTGAGAAAGAGATTTGAAAGTCCTCAGTCAAGATGGCAGCTGTGCAGGGGACAAGTAAGCATGAGGGACAGGCCAGCTCAGGGGACATTTAAGGTGGAGGAGGTCAAAGGCAGTACAGCCCCCTTGTTACTGTGGAGGCCTGTCCCCTTCATTTTTAGGGCAAATGAACGAGGGTTTGGGTGTGAGCACAGAGCTGGAATTGCTCTTCCAAGGATTCTCGCTGTCAGCCACCACCACCCGTTCTCACCTGTGGTTTCAGATGTGTGGGCGGAGAAAGGGCAGAGCTAGGACAGGGTGCCCATGGGAGGTCTCATCTTCCTCGTCGCCGCTCCTGCCATCCTTGGACAAGTGGTGCCAAGTGTAGGCAGGCCTGCCTGCGCCTGCCCAGCTCCGTGGCGGTTTCAGTTCATCTCTCTGGCCTGGGCTCCAGGCCCTGGAGCAACAGTTCTGCTCCGAGGGCCCCAGCAGTGACCACTTTCCCCCGTCCCCTCCCCAGAGGACCCAAGGACCGAGAGCCACGCCCACGATCAGCCACCCGCACCGCGCCCAGGAGGAAGAAAGGTTACTGCGAGTGCTGCCAGGAGGCCTTTCAGGAGCTCCATGGGGTGAGCCCCTTCCCACCAAGCAGCTGCTTCCCAGACTGTTCTGAGAGCCATTCCTGCCCCGTCTCCCTGGTGTGGCTGGAGGTCTGCTGGCATCCTCCCCTGTCTAACGCCTGTGCCTCCTCTCACCCCCGGACAGCATCTCCAGAGTGCCCAGCACCAGGGCTTTGCCCGAGAAGCCCACCCGTATGCAGAAGTCGATCGGATCATCGCCCAGCTCAGCCACAGCTTTGCAGAGATCCCCTTCCTCACCAGCCTCCCCAGGTGAGCGCCGTGCTGCAGCCCTGCTTGGTGGGGGGGCGGGTAATGGGGGTAATGGCTCCGCCCTCACTCTTCTGATGCTGCCTCTCTAGGTGGGAAGGAACCTCAGGTTGATGACAGCATGGACCAGGCTATGCTATTTTCTCTTTCCTCACCTTTCTTTCCAATCTCCTTCTATTTGGTTCACTTTAGATGTGAGTGGTGGGAAAGACCTCCATGTGTGTTTAGCCAGTTGGGTTGGAGCCAGACCAGAGTGCGGCTCCCTCCCTTCCTGGGCGTGAGCCCTGCCACAGCTGTGGGGGCTGAGAGCGTTCAGCCGTCACACTCACGGTCATGTCTGGTCATGTGCCTGACTGGCCGTCTAGAAGTGTGGAGGGGGGACTCTGGGTGGGTGAAGAGCAAGTCTTTCTGCCTCTAGAAGTTACCCCCGGAAAGGGATTGCAGGGGGTTCCAGGGTTCTCTGAGCTTCCACCAGGAGCTGTGGCTTCCCCTCTCAGCCCAAGTCTCCACCTCAGCCTCACTTCCTGGGCCCAGCTTGGACGGCCAGGCTCTGTGCTGCCTCCTCCAGCCGCCAAAGGGCACAGCCTCCTCTGGGAAGTTACTAAATGGGACAGCCTGTAGCTTCGGGCCATCCCTGACCACAGGCCACAGAGCCCAGAGAGGTGCAGACAGCGCTGGCCACTGCTGCCGGTCAGACCCGAAGAGCGAGCGTTTCACAGGCCCCAGAGCGGGCAGGTCTCCTCAGCACCCAAACCCCAGCAGGGCAGCACCATGCATGCCCCACCCTGCCCGCAGCCCGGCCGGGAGGACCCCAGCTTACTGCCTGCTTTGGAATTGAGCCTGTGGCCCACAGGGTGTGTCTGTCCCACAGGCAGCCAGGCTCCCCGGCTTCGGATCGTGACCCTCTGTCTCCTGAGACGGTGCCTCCCAGCCAGCCCTCCAATGGCGGGGCAGCATCTCCCAGGAGGAGGAAGGAAGACGGCCCCCAGGCCCCCAGCATCCATGAACAGGATGGGCTGCTGGGCGGCAGGAAGTCACCAGCTGAACGTGTGGGGGCTGGTGAGATGCTCGGACCAGTAGCAAGCTGCCACGACCTGGAGGGCTCAGTTGATGTTGTGGACCCCCCAGAGACAGTGCTGTCCAGAAGCCCTACTTGTCGCTGCCTCCTGACCAGCTCTGAGTTTGCGGACCTCTCCCCTGGCCCAGAACCGGCACGTGTCGGCCACAAGCGGAAGGTTCAGTTCCCCAGTGGCAATGCCGAGAAGAGGCCGGGGGTCTCCTGGCCACAAGCCTCGCTCTCTGTCTCAAGAGCCCCCAGCCCCTGTGGCACCAGGACAGCTGATGGCAGGCATCCCTTCTCCCTTCCCCTTCCAGGCCCTGAGTCCAGGCCTCTGACCTCCCCCCTGCCCTTGTGCGACCCACAGACCAGCCTCTCCCTCCCAGACCCCTTGCCCTGGCAGCCCTCAGACAGGCCAGCAGAGCTCTGGCCCACACAGCCCCCCTGGCCCGGAGGAGGATGTTCCCCAGGATCTGAGGGTTCTGAGGGTGCAGCCCCTGGCCCCGGCTCTCAGCAGACTGACCAACTTCCCAGCTGCTCGGCAGCTCCGGGCCAGCTGTCAGCCCACCTGCACTCGGCTGCGGGCACGTAACCCCCAGGGGGGCCTGCAGACAGCCAGGCTACCTCCCCTCCCTCTGCCTGCCAGCGGAGGAGCCAGCCTCTCCCAGCCCCCTGCCTCCCTGTGTCCCAGCACCAGCAGCAAACTGCTCCTGTGAGTCTCCTGGGGGCACGCAGCTCTTCATGTGGCCAGACAGCTCCCAACTTGAGGGCCAGGTGCCCAGATATAAGTTATACCTCTGCTGATGGCTGCTCACCCAGCCAGGGCAGCCCAGATACATGGAGGAGCAGCACACCAGGGCCTCCCTGATGGAGCCAGAGGAGCCTGAAGCCTGGCCTTTGAAGTCCAAGTGAACAGCTGTTGTCATGGCCAAGTGCAGGGTGGACACATCGAGTCCTCCCACCACCCCATCTTCAGGTAGAACCAAGAGAGTCAGCTTGAGGGCTGCCCTCTCTTACCCAGATCTCCAGCCATGATCCTGACGGGGCAGTGACCTGTGATGGGATAGTCCGGCCATAGCCAGCTGCCCACCTGCCAGGAGGCAGAGGCAAGGTTGGCACAGGAAGGGATGACAAAGAAGCTGGAGCAGCAGGACCCTGGCCTGGCTTCCTGCCCCCCGCAGAGCCCAGGGTAGGTGTCCCCCCCCTCCTTTCTCACAAGCATGTGGCTCTCTCCTGCTTTCCAAAAGCCTGTGTTTGTGTCCCCTCCCCCAGCACCCCACGCTGTGCACACAGATCTCAGGAACATCTGAAGCAGAGGAGGGGCTCGGCTGCTGCACTCACCGAGCTCCCTCCCTGCACTGAGTGGGCCCAGCACTGACCTTTCCCCTGAGCCCAAGATATGGCCAGATGCCCCTCTGGGGACAGACCCCTCTGGGCTCTTCCCTGCCTCAGTCTGGGCTGCCCACCCCGGGGTTCTGCTCCAGGGTCAGTGGTTCACCTGCCAACGTCTCCATCCCCTACTTTCCTCCCTCCCCAAGGACCTCCCCCCACTTCTTTTCAGCCGAGCCATTAATCTGGAAATGGGGATGAGCTTGCTATCGATTTTTTGGCCACATTTTTTTTATTACATTTTGTACTGTGGTTCTTCTCACCCTTCTCTGCCTCTGTGTGCTTGTCTCTTTAAATGTTGGAGCTACCAGAGCCTGGTGCTGTTCTGTTCTCATTTTGGAGGAAGAAGTGGGGGCCTAGCTGCGGGTGAGGACCTGAGTTGTTAGTTTGGAAATAGAGCAAGTGTGTGTGTACAACCCTCACAGAGGTCATGTTTGGCCTTTTTATGCCATTCCTGTTAAATTTCACAATTAATCTTGATTCAGGAGCTGTAAATAAATTCGTTAATAACAAATAGCTAAGGGATGGGGCTGGAGAACAGTGTTGGGCCTTCCTCTGCCCTCCAGCGACCTGAGGCCGGGCTGAGGGCCCAGTTGATGGGGACAGAGTAACTGGCTAGCAGGACAGGAGCCTCCTGCAAGTGAGAGCCTGGGTGAGTGCCACCCTCCCCAGAGGCCTAGCCCCCGGGGGCTGAGGGAGGTGGGCCTCCGTCTCCGGTCACTCACTTGGCTCTGCTGTTCTCTGAGTGGCGGCCTGGAGAGGGCATGCTCAGCACCCCCTCCCCAGGAGCCTTTGCTCCTCCGGGACCCTGCTAGGAGCCCTCTCCCCTTCCCCGGGACCTAGACAACGGCTTCCTCTGGTTCCTGATGAGACACATGGGGATGCCTCGTCCCCCAGTGCCTTTCCCATGATCCTGCCGCCCTGGGTGAGGGGGTCCCCCACCTCTGTCTCAGACCTTGTCTCTGAGACGTCCACCTGCTGCTTATTCCCAGACACCAGGTTCTGACACCCTTGTCACCATCTGCCCAGGACCTCACATCCAACTGTGTGACTTCCCCTCCCGTCTCACCGCTTGTGACCTTGGATATCGCATCTCAACCAGGTCAAGCCCCAAGGCTCCTTCTCACCGTAGCTCTGTCTCTGTTCCGGCCTCCAGGATATAAACTTAGAGGGGACCCAGGACAGAAGGGTGCCACTTGACATACTGGGCCCCTCAGTGGCCCTTGACATGGGGGCTTAAAGCCTCCTACTCCCTCCCTCTCAACCAGTGAGCTTAGCTCACACTCAGCAGCCTCTGCCTCATCCCACTCAATCCCTCTTCAACATCTGACTTAGGAAGCAGTGTCCCTCACCCCCACCCCCAGGTCAGGCCAACCCTGTGTTCACCCCACCCCTGCTGGCCTCGTCCGTTTCCTCCTCGGATTCCCCAGCTCTCCTTCCCTCCCCCTGAAAGCTCCAGCCTGGAAAACACTCGCATTGATCCAGTAGCTCGAGGAATGCTCCCTCCTGTTCTCTGGCTACTTCCTTGGTCTATAGCCATAGCCGCCGCCTCTGCACCTCCCTCCCCCTCCCGCCCTCCATCATGGAAGCACCACTGGCATTGTCCATTCCAAGGTCACTGGATCACCTGCTAATTACCAAAGCCAGCTTTCTTTTCTCCTTTCCCATTTTCTTGAACCCTGGCTCCCCCATTCCTGGCAGCCCCAGCTGAGCCTGGTCACCTTTCTCTCCAGCCTCCCCTTCTTTACTAAGTGCACCCAGTCAGCATAGGCCTGCGGTGTCTGCCCTCACTCCGCTCTAATGAGCCCTCCAGCCTCACTGCTTCCCCAGAAGAGGGCCTGGGATCCTTGTTCTTGCCTGTAGACACGGGCTCTTTCACTTGAAGTTATGACCTGAATTGGTAGCTCTGGCCTTGACCTGAATTCTGATCTTCACCTGGGCTGGATGGGAAGGCAGGTCTTGCCAACACCCCAACTCACACTCACTGGGCAAATCCCTTCACTATGAGCCTGTTTCCTTATCTAAGAAAGGGGCTTGGAGGACATGAATTCAAGGGTCCTTCCTTCCAATCCCTCACACCCCTCCCATCCTGCTGCCAACACAGACCCACTTACCTGGTAACTTGTTCCTGGTCCAAGACCGGCTCCCCTTCCCGCTGTCCTGTCCTTCCTGGCATTCGCTAACACCTGCCCCCTCGGCCGGCCACTCCAAACAGTCCCACGTCCCCCTATTCACTCCCTGCTGACCGTCCTCTCCTCACACCCACCCAGCTTCCTGGTGTTCTCTGCCATGCCCCCTCCCCCTCCGCCCGGACCCCATCCAGGCAGGCTGATCCGCTTGTGTCTCTAACCAACGTGAGTCTTTTGCTCTTGGTCTCTGACCTGGAATGCCTCTCTCTTCAAGTTTATATTCCATATTCTCTACGAACCCTGTAGTGTAAGCCTTCAGGCCACAGAGTCTTCAGGCCACAGAGTTCTGAGTTCAAATTTGGATCCTGCCACTTTGTGACCTTTGGAGGTACTGGGCCAGAGCTTGGCACACTGCGAACACTCAGTAAACTAGCATTACCGCCACCTACACGCGCGTGCGCACACACAGACATTTCAATAGGTTCATTTTCACTAATCTCTCACCTTGGATGGTTGTCTGACTCGCATCCTCATCTCCAGGGTAATTCTGTGGATGAAGCTGCTTAGGGCTCTGTGAGTCACCTCCTACCCGGGTCCCCACTTTCCGGGGCGGTTTCCCAGAACTCTAGGAGGATCCCTGATGTGGGCGAGGAAACCTGCACCCTCGCATAGCATGCCGGGCCCTCAGGGCATGACCACCTTCGTGCCACTAAGAAGCTCTCAAAGGATGGGTGTCGCCCCAGGATTTTGGCACCTGGATGCCTCCAACTCACTGAGGCAAGAGCTGCAGAGACTAAAGAAGGGGGCCGGTCAGAAAATGGGGGGAGCATGAGGCTCCCCGGAGGAATATTCAATCACGGGAGTGGTCCTCCACTGGAGGAAAGGGCAGACACTGCGCTGGGATCTGGGTGAAAACAATGAAGTCCCTGTCCCAATACTGAGGGCACTTCTGCTGCTCTCCACCGACCAGTGTCACGTCACCAGGCATAGTCTCTCCATGCTCTGGGTAGAGAGGGCCCCTAGGCCCCCAAACCATAAAGGAGTCCCTTGGGTCCTGGGCTTTCTCCTTGGCACCTTAAGGTCAACACGGATGGTGCGAGCCCCTTCTGTGCACCAGGCACTGGAGGATAAATTACTCCAGTAGCTCGAGTCCCCCAACCTCTCTGAGGTTCATCAGTTCACTGTGAAGGAGGGCTTTTCTACCCGCCCCCCCCCCCCCTTTCACAGATGACATTGAGACTCAAAGAGGTTGGGGACTTGCTCAAGGTCACACAGCCATTGACCAGGATGGAATCCCAGCCCCCTTGCCTGGTGTGGTCTCTGCTATAGGCCCCACGGACTGGGCTCAGGGCCTGAACGTCCTCCGTGGGCAGCAATCACCACCCATCACTCTGCCCCAGGACTGAGGCAGCTGAATCTCCCCCCGACCCCCTTACCTGCAGCTGCTAGACTAGCTAGGTCTTGGCTCCACATCAACCCAGCGTGGCCCCTGTGCAGAAACTCTGGAGGGAAGAATCGGCTCCAGGGCAGGGAGAACTAGGGGAAGGAGGCCCAGAACTCCTGGTAGTGGGGCCTAAGGGAGGTCGGGACCAGAGCCTGACAGCTTCCTCGGCAGGAGTGACCCTGAGGGTGACATCAGAAACAGTGACCACCAACCTCTACTTTCAGGAGTTCCCAGGCCTTCTGGGAGAAACAGGCAGTGGGGCACAGGGGCCAAAGGAGCCCCCCATCGCAGTGGGATTCCCCCCGGGACCCTTGGTTTGGTGCGTGAGGGAATTGAAACAGCTTCCAACTTGGGAAAGGCATGCGCTTGTGGCAGAGCTGACATGCAAGACAAGATGGGGGCCTCGGGCTGAGGAATGGGATGTGGTCAGATGAGGGCCAAGATGCCCAGCCGGACCTGCTTAGAGCTGGGAACTCAGGAAGATGAGGAACTCTCGGGGGCCAAGGACCATAAGATTGAGCCTCCACTGGAGCTGGCCCAGAAGTCACTCTGGGGGTTCAGGAAGGTCTCCCCAACAAGGAGCCCGGGACACACATGGTAGGGATGTGCCTCAGTCTTGGAGGCCCAGCCACAGATTGGGCTTGCTGTGTGGTCCTGGGCATGTTGAGGGAGGGGATCCAGACTCCCCCACACCCAGGGCCCTCCATTGTGAAATGACAAACCCACCTATCCTTTTGGGAGCACATCGGGTCAGGGCTTACTGACTTGGCCCTGGACCATGGCACAGGTGGGGCAGGACAGATGCACCTGGTGCTGTGTGTGGGGAGGAGGAGGGGGAATAGATGGACCAGAGGGACCAGTCTCCTCCAGATCCAAGATAAAAGGCAGAGGTGGGGCCAGAGCGGGCCAGAGAGGAGTGGGGCCCTGGGTATGGAATGCACCTCTGACCAGCTAGTTATATGACGTTGGGAAGCTCCAGCAGCCTCTTGGAGCCTCCGTTTCCCCGTCTATAAAATGAGGAACCCAGTCTCTCCCTCCTGGGTAATTGTCAGGGAATGTCGCATAGTAGGTCCTCATCTCCGAGAGCCCCCTCACCCCTAAGAGGTTCCCAGCGTGAAGGAACAATGGCCTCAGCCTTTCTGAGCATCTGGGTCTGGAGTGGCAGGTGGTTGGAAGGGGAGAGTCACCCGTCCCCAGCATTGATGTCAGTGCCTCCCGGGAAATCGCCTTCTCACCTCTCCTGAGCCTAAAATAGAATGAGGGGGGCTGTCACCAGCCGCAGGCAGCTCCCCCATTCCTGGTGGAGGCCCTGGGTCCTCAGGAAAGCAGAGGACCCAGGAAGGGGTTCCCTGCCTCCACTCCTATTCCTCAGTGACCTGTGGGCTCCCAGGGTGGGTTCAAGGAGTCTCTGGCTTTGGGCACAAGGTCAGAGGGGGGCCTCACCAGGGGTACCCACTTCCACCACCACTACCTCATCTCAGTCTCTGGCTCCTGGGGTCCCTAGCAGTGGTCAGAGATCCCAGCCCCCAGTCAGGGACCCATGTTGCCCAGGGACCCAGTAGCTGGGCTGGGGGTGCAGGGCAGTTCTAGTGGTAGGTTGGTAGGGCAGGTGGTTGGCAGGCGAGGCAATCTGGCCTGGCTAGAGAAGGAAAGCGGGGGGCTCCACAGGTATTTCTGCTCCTCAAAGATCTGGGCTGACAAGGGAGGGGCAGAAGTGGGGCATGACTGCAGCCTGTGAGTGACCTGGCCAGTTAATAGGACGTTTGGGGGGAAGGATTGCAATGCCCTGTGTGAGGGACTCGGGGGCCATCTGTCCGGGTGGCTCGGGGACAGCAAATCCTGAAGCCCTCCAGGAGGCAGGGTCCTCTTTGAGCAGGAAAAGGCGCCTGTCGGTGGGAAGGGATCTGGACCGAGGGCGGGGAGGACGCCACAGTGACCTGCTCTGCGAACCTGGGCCGGGGGACAGCCACGCCCCCGCATCTCGATCTCCCAGGTCCCCAGACGGCGGGTCCCCAGGTCAGAGCCCGGGGCTTCCTGTGGACCCTGCCTCCTTCGCCCTAAAACCTGCGGGTCCTCGGAGCTCCGGGACCGATCGCCGAGGAGAGGGGTCGCGAGATGGGAACCGGTGCGCCCGGCCCTGCACCTGCCGAGTGAGCCGTGGCGTGCGGGAGACCGGTCCCCGGGGCGGCGCTTCTTTTTGTCCTCACGTCGCTGCGGCCCGGGTCCCGCGGCCCATGCAGAGCTGTGACTGAGAGCTGGTGCCGGACCTTCTAGCTAAGTGTTCCTACATTCGCGAATATCCTTACCAGCGCTGAGTCGCGGATGATGTTGGATCGTACTGTTTTGTAGACGAAG